GTATAGGTGGTAATGCTCTAAACCTTGCGTTGTGTTATTGTTCTTGATTCGTCGTAAATGTATAATCGTATTGATGTCTTAATTTATAAACCCAGTTCGTTGTTCGTTTCGTGTTTGCGTTTCCGCTTGAAGGAATGTCAGCTTCTATTCGTTTCCCGTGCCACGTGAAGACGAGTAGCGTATAACTTCACAGTAAAGATAACACGTATCTGTTGTACGTAACAGACTAGATGATTTATTTCTACTCAGAGACTCACTAATACAAACTAGATGATGTTTCACAACACATATAACGTCACTACGTGTGATTACATGACTGCACAAACACGAGTTCCTTTGTCACTTCTGCCCGCGCGCCGAACGCGAACCCGCTGTGTCAACCCGACTCTCTTCTCTCTCTCTCTCTCTCTCTCTCTCTCTCTCTCTCTCTCTCTCTCTCTCTCTCTCTCTCTCTCTCTCTCTCTCTCTCTCTCTTCCTCTTCTCTCTCTCCTCTCGCCGCCGGCGCGAGGCCTTTTATATCGCGCGCGATCGTGTTTCTAAGGCCAATCTAAACCGCGCTCAGGTTTAGCGATGATGTCATCGCGCTGTAGGTTATCTTAACCATAGGCTTAGACGTATGACTTATAACTTAACTTAGAGGTAATTTAATAGATAGCTTAAAATCGCGTAGTACGCTGCAGCTACATAAGTAGTATAAACATGTTATTTCTTGCTATTTTTACCTGTCGCTTCTCCGTATCTACAGATATATAAAAATTAAAAACACGTTGTCAGTGAAAATTACTACTCTTTCCCTTTTACTGTGTAATAAACCCAACTTTTCATCGCACAATCAATGCTGCATTCACTATAATATAAACATATATATCACATATAATATAAACATATCATTACGATATTGTTGCTATAACTTTTATTATACTCCTAAAACTTTTCACAATCAAATTAGTTAGTTAGTTAATAGGTTTAGGGTTAGGATTATCAATCATTAATCATTAATCATTAATGATATCAACGTTGGGAACACTCCCAATGAAGCGTTAGCGTAATGTTTAGACTCTACTAGTGGCTGTGCGTGGCTGAATTAGTATAGGCGATAGAGAAAACATAAACCTCACGACTTTGGTTTTTGTTTATTTGCCATCATATTATGAGTAAAACGGCCCAAGTGCACGTGATTTGGAGGCGAAGATTAATCAATTAGCATCAGTCGATTAAAAATAGAAAGGGCCGCGCGTCACTGTGACACGCAGGCCTCATTACACATGCAGCTATGCTCGAATGCCCAATATATCACTTATAATATAACGGACTGTATAATTTACTGTGAAAGCAGCTGCGGGGCCTCAGGGTTACGGAAACGGAGATAGGCACCGCCCTATGCGCCTATCTTCCACATATGGGAAGGATTTAACTAATAGTGATGGTGTCACGATAAAAAATACCCGGCCCGGAGGACGGCGAACCCGGACTAGTATAGCCTTGTAAGGAACAAATGTTCGGGACTCAAGGAAGCAACATCATGCCAACCTTGGTCAACGAAAATAAATATATATAACGGACTACAATACTGTCAATCATAGATGCGGAAATTACAACAAACCCTAAATGTCCCCTAGTATTCCCAGACGAAACCAAAATCTATAATTACCAATTATGCTTACCGATGCAACACAGGAGAGCAGGCTGTAATATTGGTGGAAAACCCCCATAACGTTGTCAATCAGGAAAACAGGAGAACCTTGTTTCTCATCTTAGAAATTCCTCGCACCACAATCAGCTACAAGGATGTCTGGTGGACCACACGTGGCAGCCGGCTTAGTAACCACGTCTAATCCCAGTAACCACACCCGTCTAGCGGGGTCAGCTTATCCGGGCCGGGTTAAATGTAACCCCCCTCCCCCCGGGGGGGAGGTACTCCGCATGGTGACGCATATATATATGCGCCGCAATATTGGCCCCAATTTTCCGTTTTCCTTGCCATCTTTTTGCCCCGCAAATTTTTTCCTAGTCATCTTTTTGCACCCCAATTTTTCCTTGCCATCTTTTTGCCATCGTTTTCACCGTCCAGCCATTTTTTTGCCCCATGTTTTCACCGTTGAGCCATCTTTTTGCCCTCAATTTTCCCATTCATGCGGAGAACCCCTACCCTCAAGAAAGGTGAGTACTGAGTACCACCCCCCCCCCCCCGAAATGTAACGTGCACAACCGACATGTGCGAACACTCTCCAAGTTTGCAGAAAAACGCACACGAAAGCGAACATATAAAGCTGCGTTCATACTATCGATTTTTGTCAGCAAATCGTCCGAGTCGTGCAAAATAGAACACGTTCTATTTCTCCAACCCGGCGACTTCACTCCGACTCCGACTCCAACACAATCGAATTTCAGCCGATTAGTTGGAATGCACTTGAAATCGGTACGATTTGCTGACAAAAATCGATAGTGTAAACGCAGCTTAATGCGATGCGAATGCAAAGCCCGTGTCTTCAACTTCACATACATACACTGAGCACCTGGTTATTACGATAAAAAAAAAAAAATTTATTTGTTTTAAATGTTTATTTTACCAATTTTTCACGTGGCACGTCGCATGAACGATACATGATCTACTCAAATTAACGGTAACTGGAATATTACTATATTTGTACTTTTATTATAAAATTACCAGCCCTCTATGACATGATGTGTATAATAAAACAAGGATATCGCATATTACATCATCATCGGTTTTTGTAGAGGTTTAGGGTCATTTTATGTTCATTAAAAAAAAAAAACCAAGGATGAAGCATAAGTAAATACCAAGGATGAAGCATAAGTAAAAACCAAGGATGAAGCATAAGTAAATACCAAGGATGAAGCATAAGTAAATGAGAAAAGAAACGGAACTATACATTGATACAAAGTCCACCAGGCATCGTTGGAGATTATGTACACAGTAGTACAAAAAGGACGTTGAATAAACATGTATGTAACATGTACGTGTATACCGTCGTAATGGAAAAGTTGTGCTCGAAAAAAGAAAACATTTAGACATGAAATGTCAATAAGCAAAAGAAGTAGAACGACTGCGATTAGTAAATATTGCAGTGTTTTTCTCACATCTAATGCCAAGAGATATACGCAGCTAGGTTTGACGTGACATAGGTGAATACGTGACGTTTACCTTGTATACACGTGAATGTTAGAGACTTCATCAGAACACAGTCGTCACATAATCCATCATCGTAGAATGGTTCCAAAATCGACCTTTCGGCTGAAATCCAATTCACAGATATGTCAATGATCTGTGTGTCGGAGTGCGTGTCTCTGTGTGTGCGTGCGTGCGTGCAGGTGTACACGTGTTGGTGGTGGTGGTGAGTGTGTGTGTGTGTGTGTGTGTGTGTGTGTGTGTGTGTGTGTCAGCGCATGCGTCGGCATGCGTGTGTGCGCGAGTGCGTGTAAGCGCGTGTGCGTGTGTGTAGCTGAGTGTCTGTGTGTGCGTGTGCGTGCGTACGTGTGTGCGTGTATGTGTGTGTGTGTGTGTGTGTGTGCGTGCGTGTGTAGAAATTGTGATGTGTATTTCGAGTAATAGATTATTGGATGAGTTTTAACTGAGCGCTGACTTGACTATGGTTTCCCAGCAATGTGACAGTATGAAGACGACACTGGAATATATAGGTCGTTGCGTTTGATGAAGCAATGCAAAAGATACCGACCAGTAAGCAACGACTGGACGCTGTTCTTTCCGCCGCAACGCTGGACAACGAAACACAAATCCTGGTAGTGAGACATTTAGTCCAGTGGTTAGGCCACGTATACTGTCCACTGAAGGCTGTGAGTTCAAACCCCGGCCAGGGCATTGAATTTTCTCAATGTGTAAAAACCTGGCTCTCAACATTGGAGACTGTGAATCTCCCGTGGCTCGGATGACCACGTAAAATGGCGGTCCCGTCTCCAGTAATACAAAGGCCAATGGAGACGGAAAAGAACGACTGAGGGCGCAAAAAAACTCTGGCTGTGACCACCCTCAGTGCCATTCGGCTACAAGGTCACACCCCATGGCTAGCTATAGCCCTGGACGTTTATTCCTTACTGGATGAAGCATAAGTAAATACCAAGGATGAAGCATAAGTAAATACCAGGGATGAAGCATAAGTAAATACCAAGGATGAAGCATAAGTAAATATATGCATCGTTTTAATGTTACCTCGTGAACACAATATTTCAATTCTTGGAGTCCTTTAACCTAATAATACTATGGACATGAAGCTATATAAAATATTGTATAGGTGTATAAGGTTTAATAATATATATATGATATTAAACTTCATACACCTATACAATATTTTGCTCCTATACAAGGATGCTCATATTTACAGTAATAAATGCAGTTCGACATGGCACTAACAGACAAGCACATCACATCAATGCACATTGCCAAAATTTTACTCAAACAAGAGCCGCAGAGCGTCTGGGCTCATCTGAGGTCTGTTGCAACAGCTATAAACATAACATTTAAATCGTGCGTATTGACACCTTTGTTAGTTGCAGATATGCAGATATGCAGTTGCGTACACATCATTTCAGTAACCTTCTGCATTCTGCATACCTCCCAAATTCCATCGGTTGATACAAATCGCGTGCCTGAAACTCCTGTTTCAGACCTGCCAACCTGTGATTCATGAAAATAGTAAGTATTTTCTTTTTTTGCAGCAGGCGGCCATTTTGTTTGTATGTTATCCGCGCAATGAATGATGGGACTAACTCTAGATCACGCGAGAACAACATGAACGCGTGATCCAATATGGCTGCGCCCACAATCGCCAGATATTTCTCGGCTCACAATGTAAAAAACATTAATTTTCACAAGTCGTAAAAAATCGTAAGTTTTTCAGTTTGATCGTACATTCGTAGAAACATCATGGAATTCGTAAGGAATACGAAAAAATCATAAGGGTTGGCCGGTCTGCTGTTTTATGGTGCATGACCCTAACTTTAACCCTATTAAAAAAAAAAAAAATTAATTGTTGTAAGTTATTTGTTGTTAGGCCTAAAAAAAATGATGTGTTTCCGAGAACCCGACCCTACCTAGCAAATAGGGGCCGGCCCTTTTTTTCTCTCCATTTTCAAAAAAAAAAAAAAAATTAATCAATCATCAATTCTCAAAAATCAAAAAATAAATCATAAACTCCTAGAATATGGTACTCACCTCACATCTGAACACTTGACATTTTCAGATTTTTTTATTTAAAAAAACAACCCCTACCTAACCCTACCTAATTTTTTCAAGACCTTGTAATGCCTACCCCGATCATTGTACAATTGCAAATTAAATATATGGGAATTGAATCACCACCGATTTGAGCATAGGTCCCATCATAGGGCTTCAGTGCGTAACTACGAAGTCGCTTATTAACATGTGAACAAAATCACCCGATTATTGGACGACAGCGATAATTGACATCATTCTGACACAGTAGACTAGTTCTATGAATATAAAGGAATGCAATAATAACACTGGTCATTTCACCTCTAAAGGACAAACCGTAACTGAATGAAGTTATTTAGCGCTTACACTCACGACGATTTCCAAAATGTCCGTCCGCAGACACCGCCGCCCCGGTCATCTGCGCATGCGCGAGCATTTCCGTGCACTGCTGCCCTCTACCATCCCTTGAAGAAACCCCCACGATAAATTCTTGTAGACCCCCAATCCACAATAAGCCAGACAAAAAGCACTTGGCGCAGAGCGCAGCTACATGCTAGGAACGCGTCGAGTCGGGTTGGTCGGCTGCCCCCATGTGCAGAAGCCATGGTGTGTATCAGTGAAAAAAATACACGGGGGGTCGAGGCGATTTAGCCCCCGAAATGCCAAAAAAAGCCCCGGAAATGCCAAAAAGAGTCCCCGTAAATGTGCAGAGTTCAATCCAAACCAAATTTTAAAGTGCTATTTTCATGCACGCAAGCTTGAAAAGTAGCCCCTAAAAAATAAATTTTTATTTTTTCCCTGGTGTGTATATAGCGCAGTGGCGCCATCTATCGGACGGCATATGTGCTACACTCATCTGGGGCACGTTCCTACGGGCCATAGCCATGCGTCATATGAGTGACCGGCGCAGGACACGCCCCCAGCGACAGACAGGGAAGTGAGGTGTGGGGAGGGAGGGAGCTGGCGCCGGCCGGCCTCGCGCTCGTGCGAGGAAATGTACGCCGCCGAGATCAGGAGAGCGCAGCTCGGCTCGCTGGTAGGCGCGCGTGACGAGACCGTGTGGTGGTGATTGCCGTGGGCGTGTCTTCACGGAATACGTTTAAACTCCGTTTTTTCACCGCTATAGGACGCGCGCCCATTAGCCAAAAAAACTCCTGCCGCATTTCGAGCAAATCTCGAGCTACGTGGGTAGTCAAAACCGTCGTACGATTGACAGAACTCTGGCTTTTGCATTCCGACACCGTATCGCACTATACCCTAAAGGGACTCGCGAAAGTGTTCTTGATAGTGCAGCGTTATTTGTATTAGTGGCCGCAACGCAGCGTTTTTGCGCTTCGCGAATGGGAGCTGCCAGACAGACCAGTGGAAGTGATGCAAGTGTAACTGAAATGATATGGAAGATGGCCAAATATGGAGCACTGGCCGCGCATAGAGAAGTGCGCGCGGCAGAGGGAAAAGAAACGATAACATGGTGGATCCGTGCGCCATAATGAAAGCCAGCGCACAGATCCAAAGAAAAGACTAGGTGACAGAAAGTGTTCCTCCTCAGGGTAGCATGTACGAACCGCTGCAGTATATATAGTCTATTTCACGCAGCTGCCCTTATTTCCCAGTCCGCTGCGCCTTGATGAACAGTACTAAGCATTTGCACTCGTTAACGAAGCCTACCAAAGGCCGTGTCACAGACGGGGCGGTGCCCGTGCATGGTTAATTCGTCAGTGATAACACTGATATACACATTGGCTCCCCCCCTCACATCGGCAGTCAGGTGATGTCCTTTTGTTTGACAGAGTCCGGGGCGGTGAGAGGGTGAGTGACTTTTTTGTTTGATGTGTGAGGGATTGGCGACTTGTACATTCCCGCGTTTTACATTCACCGATCCAAAGCTCTGGGGAAGATCAATATAGATAAGAAAGAGAAGCTAACCTGGAAAACAGTCATATATATTTTTTGATTGATTTTTTCAATTTTGTGTGGTATAATACAAACAAATGACAATATTTTTTTTTTTCTGGCCTGCGCCCACTTTCTTATGTATATTGCTATTCCTCATAACTTTTGGTGGGAGCATGTAAAATTGGGCGGCTTTTGAGAATGTACAAGTCGTGAATACATGCTGTGTAGTTGGTTCCCGAATACAGTAGTGATACTATACATCATCATGATCATCGAGACTACTAAATTTATAATGCGATGACGTCGGACGTTATGTGATGTCCTTCGACAAACTACGGAGAGCGGTGTGCGATGTCTGTTTGTTGGGATAATTTATAAATGCTGTCTAACCAGTGCGCGGCTCCAAAATTAGTCAATTGTTTTATCGAAGTTTGTTGATGATACGGCAGCCCGCAAGCAGTTAATAACACTGCGATATGTTTGCAGTGATATTGTCGATAAGTGATGAACGGAAATATATTTTGAAGAAAGAGAAACAGAGAGAGAGAGAGGGAGAGAGACAGAGAGAGAAAGAGAAAGAAAGAGAGAGAGAGAGAGCAAGAGAGAGACTACCCAGCTATGAAGGCAAGCACCACACGCACCCAACTTGTTCTAAGCCAAATAGGATGCTTACTGTTGGGGGTGGTAGATGGGGTAATCATTAATCATTAATGATATCAAAGTTGGGAACACTCCTAATGGAGCGATAGCCTATACTTATAGTTATATACCCTCTTAGCTCTATACAAGAACCTGTTTAGCCTAAAATTTGAAACAGGTTCTTATTTTCTAAAATCTATATAAAAAGATGTATACACTTGGGCGAATAAGATAGATCAACATTTTGGATCCTTTTTTGGAGACACAGGTGCCTTATCACTCCATTAGCAATTTGTGCTAAGTACCATTTATGTATAAACCTGTTTAGGATAACGTGTCGTGGTAAAATGCAGGTTCTTACTTGCGGGTTTTTTACTGTATTACTGCGATACACAAGCGAAACTCTCCAGCAAACTCTACACTCAAATTGTCACGTGAGTCCAGCAATCACGTGAATGCCTACAAATCAAGGTGTGCTTAGTAAAAAAAATTGCAATTGAATTGTAGATTGTGTTATGTTTATTTTGCTATCTGATGAAACTACAGTACTAAAGGACATTAAATGTTATTCAGTAGAGTATAGTTATGTGTGTGAATTATCAAACGTATCGATACATGTATCGCCAAAGTTTGTATCGTGATACATCAATATATCGATAAATCGTCCCACCCCTAGCACGCGGACACTCACGCACTCACGCACGCACACGCACGCACACTCACGCAAGCACGCACGAATATATGCTAGAATGAAGAGAGATAATCGGTCAAATAACTATGCTACAACTACATTAAAAGCATTTTTTCAAAAAATTCAGAAGGACAAATACAAATGAGAGTTAGGTGCCTGTCAAGTCTGTCAATACTAAAAAAGAAAATGAAAACAAAGCAAATAAAGTAAAACCGTAGGGTCCAGCAGCTGATCGCGGTCGGAGTGCTGTAACTCCGGACTTTCCGTGAAGTGCTCTTCGCTCATGTTTGTGTTCTCTGCGCCTTTGCTGTTGTCACACTAAAACGAGTTAAAAGCAGCTCCCATGATTCTCATATCCTTCTGTCAACTACTAGCACTGAAACAACACACCTCTGATGCATGAAAACCTGGGTTATCCCCGGTTCGCCTACTCCCATTTTGCCTACGGCAGAATTCCCATTTCGTCTATAGCAAAACTCCCAGTTGGTCGATCTACACCCATTTCGTCTACACTATAAAAATCCACACCATTCCCATTTTGTCTACCATCATTTTGTCCACTAAATAATTATTTATAAATGTAATATATGGTTTTGATTAGCATGCCTAGACTAGACGGAGTAGCATCCACACTAATTTCTCCTGGTATTCGTTGTAATTTTTCAATACTACGACGAAATGGCACTATTACCCATTCGGAGAGTAGGCGAAATTGGAATATTGCCCATTCTGAGAGTAGACAAAATGGGAGTAGGCGAAATGGGAAGTAGGCAACATGAGAGTATAGGCCAACTGGGATTGTTACCAAAAACCGACTGTTGATGTTTTCATATCACTCAAAAAGCAATGACGAAACGAAGAGCTAATTTATTTCATATTCAATGTAATTGGTTGAGCTTACTGAAAATTGCAATATAGGCCCAGTCACCTACAGTTACTGCTATCTGCTGTTGAAATCAAGCAACTTCATTCAGCTTTGTAGCGCCGCACACAACTAGAGCCATTGTTGAAACTCTTGCTAACTGCTTAACTACATTCATTAATTGCCTCATTGATTACCTGACTCTGAGTATCAGTATTGATCGTTGACTGATTATTGTCCGAGTCCATCACATCATCAAAGCCATCTTCCTTGTTGTGATCGATCGAATCCTTGTACATGAGACAGAACCAATGTTACACATTATCAATGCTATCGTATCCGACAAATTCAATCCCTGGCCCATTTGCAAGCTTCAAAGTAACAAGAGAATCCATGTGTCGTATAATACTAATGCTCATCTACATCTTAGCTAACTTAGCCTCATAGGGTCTATGTCCCGCAAGGTACTGCCGGAACGTACCCTGGGAACGATCCAGTATACCGGAACGTACCCTGGTAACTATCTGATATGGTTAGGGTTAGGGTTAGGGTTAGGGTGTGAGGGTTACGGTTAGGGTTAGGGTTAGGGTTAGGGAGTAGGCGTAGGCGACTCCCAAGACTCGTTAGTGGAGTAGGCGAGGTACGGTCCAGCATATTAGATAGTTACCAGGGTACGTTCCGGTATACCGGACCGTACCCAGGGTACGTTCCGGCAGTACCCAGGGAGACATAGACCCTCTCAGCAACACTAATAGCCATTGCTTAATTAAATTACTCTTTTATACTCATTTTCTTGTCTTAAAGATGCATTCCCACGCACGTTTTTGTGACAAACCACTGTAAAAACGCAAGTAAATAATTCACTACACTTAAAACTGAACGGTAGCTTTGAAAATAAAACTGTAAAAATATGCATCAAGCCTATATTCCCTCAACGAAAAAACAACTAGAAAAACGTGTTTCGCCGCGCTTCTATATCAAGGCGGCAGCCGACGCAGGTCACATAACTAGCACAGCTATAAATATCATATAAGTTAACACGTGTTATATGATATCCAGTGGAAGTGATGCAAGTGTAACTGAAATGATAAGGAAGATGGCCAAATATGGAGCACTCGGCAGAGGGAAAAGAAAATATAACATGGTGGATCCGTGCACCATAATGAAAGCCA